GTCAATCAGCGCCCATGTTAGACAGTTGTTGATTTTTCTAAATTTTCAAACTTTAATTGTTATGTACAGCGTTCATTTCCCCTGCAAAGGTTTGGCTTGATGACGAGTTGCTGAAAACTAATGTTTCCCATAAACTGACTTCCTTCAAAAGGCGTTAACAAAAAGGGCTGTAGGTTGAAATGTTTCATTATCGAAAAGGGTTAAAAGGGTCATCGGATTCACATTTTATCCGAAAAACAAATAAGACTTATTAAAAGAGAGATTAAAGAAAAGTAAGTGTCAATCTGTGGGAGGAGAGAAGGAAGCTTTGTACACAAAACTATATCTGGGGAGTGTGTTTATAAAACTAAAAACACCAATCCATAGGTATGTACGAGAAACAATAGAAAAATTATTCCAGCCAAATAAGACGGTGAAAGACGAGACCAGTGGAGTGGCTGTATGTTCAATCGAGGGAAGCGTAGATGTCCTCATCTTCACTGAAAATGTCCTTGAGGAGGAAACAAATATCCCGGAAGCTGGGTCTGACCTCGGGTTCGCCGGACCAGCAGGCAAGCATGAGATTATACGCAGCCTTCTCACAAGGAAAACCAAGTTCTGAAGGATTGGGCAGGCGGTAGCCGGTGGATACTTTTGCGATTATTTCATCTAAATTAATATCTAAGAAATGGACACAAAGGAACTGTGAACAATACTTTGATCATAGCGATGTAGTCGACAAACAGGTGAGAGTGGAAGACATCATGCAAATAAGTCATATGCAATTAGACCTTACACGCGTACACATTTATACTACATGCGTACATAAATATTGGTTGAAAGGTAGGCATCCCAATAAATAAAAGCTGAAGTCGGATAAGTTCTTTGGGAAATAGACTTTAGTGTGCGCCTGGGCTTTTAGCTTGAACAAATGTCGGGAGTGTTGTGTAACACGTTTGCCATATATACAATTCCTCGACAATGGGCATGCGTGAGACTTTCGAAATGGCGGAAAAATAAACCACTTGTCCCAGAGAGCTCTTCACTGTCTTCATATATATAATATATTCCCTATCTCATGAAATGTCGACCGAAATTGTGAAATTTGCTTTCGAGTTGAAGAAATTATTTAATAAATTTTTTATAACTGATTATTGTACACGCTATTTGCAAGATATTTCAGTCACGTCAGAATGCTGGCTTTTGATCGAGTTCCTTCCTGTCTGCTTAAACAAAGTACATAATATAACAAATGGCTACCTAAGTACCGTGCACCTTTCTAATGAATTTCCACTGCCCTTAGTAATTCAAATATAGTTAATAGGAAACATGCACAATAATATTATTTTTTGTATTCATTTGGTAGAAAAGTTCGCCATCTTCAAATGTTATATTCAATGTATAGTCGGTGCTGAGGCTCAGTTTGGTCAAAGCAGTTCGGCCCTCGGGGAGCGCACAGGCGAACGCATCTTTGAGCACCAGCGCCAGGGAGCCAGATGGCAGGACAATCATCACATCAAAGTCCACCACGGGTGATTAAAGTTCAACAGGTCACGGCCCGCACGCCGGCCATCAAGCAATTAGCGCATAAGCGGGCGACTATTCTCGATGCAGGGGGAACCGTTAATTGGCATGGGTATGTGGTAGCATGGCGACTGTATCCTTTAAATAATGCAACTACCTGTGTATGAATTACCCGTTTCTGCTCTTACCTTTAAGAATAAGTCCGCGACGGAATCTGAAACGTCAGGCAAATAAGGTTCGTGTCCCAACTAGCATGTCTGCTTCTCGTCAACAGTGATTAAATCACGGCCATTAAAGAATCAGGCGCGGACTTACGAGCATTCCTCCTATCAAATACTAGCTGCAACTATGAAAGCTAATACCACTGAGTATTGTACGCATGTGGTGACATGGCAACCACGGCCTATAAACACTGCACCCCTTCTACCCCTAATGTTCTTACTTGCTACTGCCTTTGATGCTGGTTTCGAATGAGA